GGGGGGGGGGGGGGGAAGACGACGGCACGAGTTAAGGAACGGTAGTTGTAGCGCCAGCTGCGAGTTTTACCTGAGGGTTCATCGCGCACGCGATGTATGTGACAAGGTGGGGCATGATGGTCGGAGTGCAGGCCGCGAACTAAGACGATGGCATGACACCGCGTCGGAGGAGCGGCTCTGCTCCCTCTACAGTCCCCCCATCGTGTTGATAGTCCCTTGGGGATCATGTTTGGGTACACGAGGCCCTACGATCGCACGTAGAAGCGTGGGCTAGGCCCAACTACGTACCTATGGTTGCAGGTCAAAACATCCATAGTTATTGTACACGCTTAATCGCTTCCCGGAGGCTGTTCTTGTTTCTGATGGAGGCGTTTTGCACAGGACCCAGCCAACAATTTCGCACACAACTCCTCACGATTGTGATCGTTCTTCACTGCAGAATATGTTAGTGCTTGTATTTTGGGGGAGTCACACATTTTGCACAAGCGTTACAACCCTGAAACGTGGCCTTTGTGCGTATCTCTGGTGTGTCCTTGATGACGAAACGCTCCTGACCGCTGTTTCCGGCGGAGGTGTTTCTCGTTTCTGACACTGGTGAAACCCACTGTGTGACACCGGCTGGTGCGTATTGCTCTCACCGAACGGTGCAGAGTGGCGCTCAAAATAGATACACGGGACGATAAGCAATAACAAAGCTTATTTGTGTGACCCTGGATGGTTGTAGTTGCACGAAAGATACACTGAAAAGTGTAGTACACGTCTCACCACGAAATATGGAGAGACTGTCGCCGTATTTAAGGACGAAAAAAAATACAAGTATACAAGTATATCCCTTCCTCGTTGTCCGACCACATCGGTTCGGAGGCATATGTGCTCTGCCATGTCTTCTCCGTCCTTTCGTGTATGATGGATGTTCTATATTGACTCTCCCCTGAGTGGAGATGACCTTTGAAACCGAGAACCACATGTCCTCTTTCGCACTCCACTCCACCAAAACGGGGGATAATCCCTACAAAGCACACACACCGTTTTTCTCGTGTAAATTATGCACTCCACACAAACGGGGATCATACCCACAAAGCACACGAGGTTTCTTCCTGTCTTCTTCCTCACCGCCTGCCTTGCCTCAGGAGTACGTATCGGGAGGGGAACTGTTCGACCACATAGTGTCCGAGGGCCGCCTCGACCCCGACGAGGCTCGATCGATATTCCAGCAGGTCATCTCGGGAGTGGAGTATTGCCACTTCCATCGCATCGTGCACCGGGACCTCAAGCCCGGTGAGCAACCAACCCTTGCCGTCCCGGTCACCCAAACGGGAGAGGGCGATTCTTACAACGAGTGTTTTATGGTCTCTTTTACTATCTTTTTTTTCTTGGGACCGTCTGCCCCCAGGCATGAAAGCCAGCAAACGTTGCCGGCCTGACCGTCCAAGGTTCCACCGTGTTT